AGGCCCCATAACCAACCCCCCGCCGGCACCCCACAGCACGCTCATTGCCTCACGTAGTACCGCCGCTGTTCTCCCGCACATTAGTCCCTCCCCGCTGCCTCGCTGCACGCACATCCCCCTCGCCGCACACCCTCCATCCCCACTGCCCCACTGCATGCATACAGCACTCTTGCCTGTGGGCTCACTGCACCTGGATCCTCCCCGGGGACCCACTGCACGTGCACCCTCCCTCCGAGGCTGTCCCACTGCATGTCCACCCCTGGCACACGCACCTGTGTGCCCCACTACACACTTATCCCCATGACCCACCCCGTGCCCCACAACACACACATCTCTGTGTCCCACTGCACTCACACCCCACACCCCATTGCATGAGCACCTCACATCCCACAGCACATTCACCTCTGTGCCCCATTGAATGTGTACCCCAAGCCCCACTGCACACACCCCCCGTACCTCATTGCACACGCTCACCATGCCCCACTGCATGTGCACCCTGCCTCCCACAGCATGCAAACACGGTGCCCCACTGCGCCTCCATTCACGTCCACCCCGTGCCCCGCTGCATGTACGCCCCATTACACACATGTGTCATACCCATTGCATGCACTTCCTCATGCCTCACTAGACAAGCACCCTGTGCCCCACTGCACGCACACCCCATGTCCCACAGCATGCTCACCTCATACCCATTGCATACGTACATCATGCCCCACTGGATGAACACCTCACACCCTGTGTCCCATTGCATGTGTACCTAATAGCCATTGCACGCGCAGGCTTGTGCCCCATTGCATGCATATTCCTGTGCCCCACTGCACATGTATGTCATGCCCACTGCATGTGCACCCCATGCCCCACTGCACGTGTATCTCATACCCATTGCACATGCACCTCGTGCCCCACTGCACGTGTGCCTCATACCCATTACACGCACACTCCGTGCCCCATTGCACGTGTGCCTCACACCCGTTGCACGCACACGCCGTGCCCCATTGCCCGCGCATCCCGCGCTCCGCGCCCCCCGGGCACTCACCGGCGGGCTGCGCGAGGTGGAGGAGCGGCAGAAGGAGCAGGGGGAGGCGGAGGAGGGGGGCGAGC